GACAAATACGAGACCTTATAAATTATATTGAATTAAATATTTAAGATATATATTATCTTTTAAGAATATATTAATCAACAATATATGTTCTTAACTAATATTATTGTCAGAAATATAAGGGAAGAATATTATTGAATTGTTGTTGTGTCTACATTATTACATTGAGACCTTATTTATAGACATTAGAATATAATCCTTTACCAAGTAGGATACTATTTACAATTCTTATTTCTATTTGTATTCCTATTCCTATTCTAAATAGGATTGTATAAACCTATTCATGTTCTAAAACTTCCTCTTAAGCTAGTGTATACAATTCATGTACCTAACTTGTTACAAATGTAATTAATACGAGGACCGATGAGGGGCTTGGTGAAATATCTGCAAGTTGATCAGTGGACTCCACAAAATTGACAGTCAATCTCAATGTGCTTGTCTTCACATTAAATACCGGACTTGATGCATAATGTCAGTCAATCTCAATGTGCTTAATCTTCTCATGAAATACTGAATTTGATGCATAATGTCGATAAAACACAGAGTGATAAAATTACAGTGTTGAACAATTACAATGTTGAACTTCCCAAACCAAACTTGCAAAGACTGTTTCAGACCATAGAGTGACTCACATAATCGACATACAAGGCTACTAAACCCCCCCGAGCAACAAAGTGCTCAAAATCTAGTTTAGTATAAAGTATATGAATCGTGTTGGAATCAATACATGAGTCAATTTAAACAAGAAAGTCACCGAAAAAATGGTCGGAACATGCTCATATGCCGAAGTATTAGATTTGATGGTTGAAAGTGGTCACAATCTCAGAAATAAAATTATATGGGTAGGGTCAGAATGATGGCACGTCCCAATTAGAAAATAGAAATTATATAGGTAAGGTCGAATTGATGGCACGACCCTATTGAAAAAGAGATAATATGGGTAGGGTCGGAATGATGACACAACCCTACACAAATTAGATTTGAGGAGTCACCGAAAAGACGAATGGAACTATGCAAATCAAATCTGAGGAGTCACCGAAAAGACACACGGTGCTATGCAACTCAGATATGGGAAGTAGTTCGGAAAATCCACGGTACAACACAAATTAAATATGAAAAGTAGTCCGGAGAGATGCGGTGCTACGCAAATCAAGTATGCAAAAAAGGTAGTCACCAGAAGGATGGCACGGTGCTACACAAATTAAATATGAAAAAGTAGTCATCGGGAAGATGGCACAGTGCTACAAAAATTAGATATGAGAAAGTAGTCACCAAAAACATGGCACGGTGCTACATAAATTAAATATGAAAAAGTAGTCACCGAAAAGGTGGCACAGTGCTACACAAATACCGACGGATATGGGGTCGACACAAAGCAGCCCTAGACAGTCACCGATAATTGATGCACGGTGACCTGTCTGGCTGAGTTTTCTTCCCTTGAATATGTTCATGCCTATAACATTGATCCAACTTTTGTTAACATTATCATTGACCAGACGGGCAATATATATGAGTAATAGCCACCTGTCGGCAGCGGAAGCTCTTTGATTCTCTACCAAGATCGTAGAGGCTCTGATACCATGTGAGAAATATAAGGGAAGAATATTATTGAATTGTTGTTGTGTCTACATTATTACATTGAGACCCTATTTATAGACATTTAGAATATAAACCTTTACCAAGGAGGATACTATTTACAATTCCTATTCCTATTCTAAATAGGATTGTATAAACCTATTCATGTTCTAACAATTATAAAAAAAATAATTGATTTATTTTTCAAATAGTATATATTAATTAAATTAATAATAGGCAGGACAACTTACTTTAGCAGTTTAACTTTACATATAATTATTTACCCCCATAATCTCATTTGAAATGAATTTAATATCACCTTAAGATTATAATACCAGTCTCACAGTGGCAAGTGCATCTCACACGCGCCATGTCATCGACACATCAGTGCCACGTCAATGCCACCTTGAAAATTATTTAAATTTTGACTTTTTAGTTCTTTTGTTATTTCTTTTTATTTAACAATTTTAGAAAGGAAAAAAATTAAGAAAAAATGAGGATTAATCTAACATTAAAAAAAATTCAAGTTCATCACCATTAATACAAACACTGCCATAAATAGTGATTTTGAAGCAACAATTTTCAACACCAACAATCTTCTCTTTTCAATTTTAAAAATTAGTAATATCAATTTTGATTTAGATCTTGAAAAAAAGAAGACCCTCTTCTTGAAATCGAAATTGATGAGTGAGATCAAAAGTAAAGAAAAAAATGGGGGGGGGGGGGGGGGGGTTCGACAACGATGGAGAAAAAGGTGAGAAAGATGGTGATTGAAGGTAGGGAGGTTTGGAGCTGGAGAAAGAGGGTGGGGTGTGGGGTTCGAAGAACAAGAAATGGGGTGGGGAGTTTCAAAAAAGAACAAAGGGGGGGGGAGGTTGTTTCGAATAAGAAGAGTGAGGTGATGCAATGGTGGCTGAAGGCGGTAGGGAGTGGTGGGGTGTGGGGAAGAAGAAAGGGTAGGGTTGCTAGTAGCTAAGGGTTGGGTGGTGGGGTGTGAGGAAGATGAAGAATGAAAAATAATATTGGTTGAAAAGAAAAAAAGGGACCCACTTAAATATTTTCTCTTTAATTTTTTGCCAATACGCACTTTTATTTTTTTAATTTGCCACATCAGCGATTTGGGTGCATTTAAATTCACTTGATATGAGATTGGGGGGGGGGTAAAGAATTACACGTAAAGTTAAAGTGATAAAGTAAGTTGTCTTGCCAAGTTTAGGTTTTTTTTATGTGTTTTCTTGTTTACAAAAAGATTAATACTATAAATATAACGTTAAAAATTATGAAAATATTTGACAAAAAATAATATATCAAGTCTAACTAAAAAATTAATGACTTGCAGTATGAAATATTAAGTTAATACTACTAAAATAAAAATGAAATTGAAAATATAACATAAGATCTAAATCTGAAAAGAAATTTAATGTACTACTCTTATGTCAAATTTGAACATAACATACATAAATGTGAGTTAAAAGGAAAGAAAAACATAAATCTATAACTTTATTTAACAATTAGTTTTCCTTCAATTTAAAAATTAGAATATTAACAAAATCCTGCTAATGAAAATAAATAAATATAGAATAAATAAATAAAATAGATAATATGAAAAATCTCATGGAATCACAAGAAGTAAAGGTTGAGAATGAGAAGGAAATGAAATATAAATAATAAAAATAAAAATAAAAATATTTTTAGAATAATAAAAAAAAAGAATTCAAAATAAATTAAAAAAAAAAAAGAAATTAAAAAGTAATCAGCTTGTAATTACACCGTGTAATTACTAGCAATTCAGAGCCCTTCGTTGAGAATTGGAGAGTGTAATTACCTATTGCCAATTACACTCAGGTAAGTAATTACATGGCCAACCAAACAGGCCAGGCAGTGTAATTACACCAAATTACACTAAATCTAATTACCAGGGTAGCTTTCCAAACAGACCATAAGAGTCTAGACGAAATCCTTTCACCACTGCAAGGAGTCTCATATTCAAAATATCATCTAACATGTTAACATGAATCAAGCAACAACTGTAGAGATTTTGAAGACATATCTATACAAAATATATGATAGTCTATTCCATCAAAAATCTGTTGTTGCTATCTATCAACACTGTCCATATAATGCAAATGATAATTGCATAAAAGTTAATGTGAGAAATATAGAAAAAGAATATTATTGAATTATTGTTGTTTACATTATTACATTGAGACCCTATTTATAGACCCTAGAATACAATCCTTTACCAAGTAGGATACTATTTAGTATTCCTATTTCTATTTCTATTCCTATTCCTGTTCTAATAGGATTGTATAAACTTATTCCTATTCTAGTAGGACTGTATAAACCTATTCATATTCTAACAGTTAAAATCAACGTGAAGGGGAATTGTTCTCCAATCTGGACTCTGCATCTTCTTTATCCCGGGACCTGCCAGCTGCATAATGCCTTTTTTAATCTTCCTTCCTATATTACTGCACCCCCCAAACAAGTTCTGAGACATACACCAAAGAGGCCAGGTCTGGTGCCACTGTAGAAGAAGATGGTTCACAGATTCTATTGGAGATTTACTTAATAGCACCTATGCGTAAACTGAATGCTCATTCTTTGTAGATTATCTTATGTAGGCACACAAAATTTGATGCTGTCTTCAGATTTGTCAGCAACTTTGTGACAAGATTTCACAGGAAACCTCCATCTGCCTTGCCTGTAAATGGAAAAGAATCTGCCCAATCAGCTTGGCTACTACAACCTCCAACTTCTTAAACAATAAATTGACTCTACCAATTTCTATATATAAAGTATTCCTTATGAATTTTCAAAAGATTATAGATTTCTGCTTACTGCATGTTCTTCTGCTCTGTTCATGATTGTAAAGATATGACACTTGAGCCTAGCTAAACCCCAAAAGCTAGCTCACGAGGCTCGGATTCCGCAGGTCCGCATAAGCAGACCACCAATCCATTCCTCAACCAATGTGGGACTCTAACCCACTCTAACGACCCCCTTCACGTCCAAGAATACTGGAGCGTGGACAATATAACATGGGGCCCCTATTAGGGAAGAACTTGGCTCTAATGCCATATAAAAATATTACACTGGGGCCTAACATAATCCCAAAAGCTTGTTTAGGAGGGGAGGAATACCTAAGTACATCTAAGCAGACCACCAGTCCATTTCCCAACCTATGCGGGACTCTAACAATAATCCATAGACAAACTAAACAACATTTTAATTGCATCCTAAGCCTCTCTGAGAAGACTTCGATGATATATTTTTTCTTTTGTACCTTGTTTCTATAGAAATCAAACAAGAGGTGACCTGATGAAAATCTTGCCACGATGCCACTAGAGTTCTTATATTTCCTGTAAGCTAGGATATTGGTTTATGATATATCTTATTACTTATTGTCTATCGTGCCTCAACTGCAGGATATTGCAGGTAGAGATTGAAGAGTTGCAACATCAATTTGATTCAGATCTTGTTGATGATGTTAAACAACCCATAGTGTATGCAAGGAACTTTCTGGAATTTTGTTCCTTCCAAGCTCTTCAAGTTGTAACCACCCGTCCTGATTATCTGAGCGATAAGGAATTCCGTCGGTTGATGTTCGACATGATGCTAGCATGGGAGGTCCCTGGTGTTGGAAATCAAGTACTAAACTATATGAGATATACTCTATTTCAAGATTGCTTTCTTTTCTAAATTCCGCTTGCTATGCCATAGATTTGGCTGTCCATTTGAAAGTCTTAACTGTCTGACAATACCGTCATGGAGATGTCTTCACAGGAAACTGCTGCTTCTGATAAGAGGGAAGTGGAGGATGAAGATAGCTGGTCATTGTTTTATTCGGATTCCACAGACATGGCTGTTCAGGTGGTGATTGATTTAACATTTTCCTTTATTTAGTACTCCTTATGTCTCAATTTATGTGATGCATTTTCCTTCTCAGTCTGCCCCAAAGAGGATGATACTTTTCTATATTCATAAACAGTTTTTACATTAAACTTCCCATTTACCTTAATGAGATGATTTTTAGCCACACAAATATCTATGACTTGTTTTAGACCACAAAGTCTTAAAAATCTTGCTATGTTTCGAAACTCGACGTAGTGAACGTGCATCACATATAATGGAACAGAGGGAGTAACTATTTTTGGAGTAAAATTTTTTAGATTTCTACTTTTTATCTCTGACAGAAAGTGTATACCTCCACTATAGAAGGTTCTATCCTCATTGAAGGTCATAGAAATAAAAAGCCGTTTATAACTAAAGAAAGAAAAATATGTTGTTTCTTGTGGTTGCATTGAATTGCAAAAAAACTTTCTCAGAAGGGGTATCATATGATTTTGTCCTGAAAATTTTCAACAGGCTTTTATTTATCCATTTATTTCTCGTCTCTTGTCAGGTTGATGATAAAAAGACAGTTGGTGAAGAATCATTTTCACGAATTGCTCCTGCTTGTGCTATTATTGCAGACATTATAACAGTTCACAATCTTTTCGATGTCCTAGCAAGTTCATCAGGTCACCGGCTCCATTTTCTTATATACGACAAGTACCTTCGGAGTCTTGAAAAGTATGCTTCATTACTTGAGCATTAATTGCTGGACTCCACTTTACCTTTTTGTTCTTTGGGTACTTTACTTTCTCACAAAAGATTGAAATCAAGCTGGTTACAGATCTTTTGAGATTACAGTCAAACCTCCTTATAGAGGCAGGGTTTGAATGAAAATTTTATGGCTGCTATAGTGAAGTGACATTATATATTATACTGACATTTGACGTTTTGATCTCATTTATCTGTTATAAACAAAATTACCCTAATTTTTTTTTAATGATTTTGTGCCAAGAAGAAGAAATGTATTTGTTAACCAAAAATATAGAAAGAGTATGAATGTAAAAAAGGCAAAGACCAATAGTTTTTTCTCCTGAAGTAATGACCATAGCTTCTGGGAACCATTTGAGTACAATTTTTTTCCCTTTTGGATATTTGTACTTGAAATTTACTATGTGTATGACATTATTCATTAATGATGATTATGATAAATATTTTAATATTTATTCTTATATATTAAAAAATGACAAAAGTCCCACATTGGTGATTAATGAGATGGGTGGACTAAGGCTTGGGCAATCCTCCTCCCTTTTGAGCTAGCTTTTGGGGTGTGAGTTAGACCTAAGACCTAATTTAACATTATACATAATATATTTTTTACGAAGTAATATTACACAATATTTGAATGACTGTTATAAAGGGGTAATTTTAGAAAGATTATACTGCTACTACGAATGCCACTGCTATTGTAAGTATAATGCTGTTATAGAGAAGTAAAATATAACATGAATAATCGGTTCTGAAGAAAATCAGGCCCTTATAGTGAAATTTTGTTATAACGAGGTTTGACTGGTTGATTGAATTTCTCCTGATGCTCGAAGGATGGTAAAGCATTAGTTTGATCTAACTTGGAAAGCTGCTTAAGGACAGACATTGTTTAATATGAAAAGTTCATATATAGTGATACCGCATAGCTAGAAATCTCGGGTATGCCATTTTGCATTTTCTTCAGTATGTTGTTTTTCAATCTTGATGATCTTTGGGATCATTGTCATGCTTCTCCTAGCTCCATTATTGCAACAATTCACACATCCCCCAAAGTCGTTGGCTCTTTGGAAGAAAATATTCCTGCATTTGTCCCACTTCTCCTTCTCCTGCAAAGTTTGCCTGTACCTTTTTGAAGTTTGCTGTAGGACTTAATCAGGCAGATAAACATTGAGGTGTTAATCAGAGTTCGATTAACATAGTTCATCTTCCTTTGACCCACCTGTATCAGCAATCTATCTCAATTTTGCATTATAGTGATCTAAAACGACCTGTTCCGGTGACGAAAGTTAGAGTGAAGGGGGAGAGTCTCTCACTCTAGCAAACTATTTTCTAATTTTCTATTCTGAATTTGGTCCAAATGTAAGTTTTATTGGTTAAGGTATGGTTAGCATATACTAGAGAGGAATTCCTATGGTTATGGAATAGCTATCCTATTTATGAAATTAATTATATTAACAAAAGCATCAGACAAAACTTTTTGTGATTCTGGCCTTATAATATATATTATAAGGCTGTGATTGGTCCAAAGGGCGGGTCACAGACAGATTTCTCGGTTATCAAAAAAAATAAAAATTTTATATTATAAAATATATGATTTAAGTTTTCCGTCAGGAGGAAAAAATCAGATATTTGTCTCCGGTTGGGTGCTGTCTCTCCCACCCTCCTGTGTTAGCAGAACCGTCATGAGAATTATGTTTTTGAGGAGCTGTAATACATTGTTTGGATGCACTTGTAAACTTGCTTTTGATATGAAGTCTTGGTATATCCAGAGTAAATCTGGGGCTTGATGAATGATTACTAATAAGTTATTTCCTCATTCCTTTTCATACTGCAGGGTGATAAAGGCGGTCCAGAATTTCAGTGGACCTCAATTGGTGTCCAACCTTTCACTTGCAGAGGAAGAGATAGTGCTAGAGGTGGATGGTACAGTTCCCACACAACCAGTTTTGGAACATATTGGAATATCTGCATGGCCTGGTAAGCCATAGCCGTTTTTTTCTCGAAGGATGATTGTATATCTGATGCTTTGAATACTATAACTCTACTAAAATCATCTATGATAGTTTATTTCTTTTGAAATATGAAACAAAAGATGCTTTTGAATTTTAATGACTTCCTCTGCTCTGAAAATTTAAAATTGCATATAAATGAAGGAATTTCTGATAACAATTGTTTTGCAAATGACAGTTTCTTGTTGTGGACGCATTTGTGGGTAAGACATATGTGCGACAGAAAGCCAAAGCCGAATAAATTAAGAATTTAATTATATTGTTAGTAGTTTTCTTATTATTCTAGAATAGGAAGAGTTTGATTGTGTTATTAGTAGTTTTTTATTAGTCTAGAATAGGATTTATGTTTCCTAGTTTCATAAGGCTTCCTATTGCTGGAACAAGATTCCTATTTAAAGGAGGATTTGAGGAATAAGAAGTACGCAGATTTTCAACCAAAAACAAGAGATAAGAGTTTTCTCTTCCATTGAACTCTAAGGTTTTAGCTTCCCTTGACAAGTTGAATTTCTATATACAAATATAGGTCGATCTAGGAATTCGAACAAGGCAAGGGAAAATCAAAGGCAATTGATTTTGATATTCCTGTTCATCGTCCTGTGATTGTGACGAACAATATTCGTCCACTCACCAGTGCAAACGACTTTTCTGGTTGGAATCGGATGATTCGGTTGACAATGCAATTCCGGAAGTGCTAGATGACTGCCCGGAATTTTTTTTACATGCAATTACTAGTCAAAGGCATGCACAAACTATGCAATTCTCTCCTCTCATTACTGGACAGCACATGCTTTGTCTTATTGATTTTGGAAGTACCCACAATTTGAAAAGGTCTATAGCTTCTAGTTGATTACTCCTTGATATTTTCTCCTAGCACAACAACAGAATCTCCATTGCTAATGGCGAGAAGGTTCCATGCTTGGGGATCTTCACAAGGGTAACAATTTCTATTGGTGAACATAGCTTTATTGTAGGCCTTTACATTATTCCCTTGGGTGGATTTGATATTGTTTTGGGAGTTAAGTGGTTATAGTCCTTGGGTCCTATACTTTGGGATTTTGCGGCACTTACTATGAGTCTTTTGGTGGAAGGGAAATCAATGTTGATTCAGGCACAACAACGGTATTGTGGGAAGGCTTTGCATCTGGCAACTACTAATGAGCAGCGACTGGAATACCTTTTGTCCGAGTTGGATGATCTGTTCCAGGAACCTATGAGTTTACCACCATTGAGACAATGTGACCACCACATCAGTTTGCTGCCCGGAACAGGCCCTATAGTTGTCCGTCCTTATCGATCCCCTCATCGGCAAAAGGATGAGATTGAGAAGCAATGTAATCAGATGTTGCAATTGTGATAATATTTGGGAAAAATATTATTGAATTGTGTATCTAAATTGTTACATTGAGACCCTATTTATAGACACTACATTGGAATCCTTTTCCAACTAGGATTCCTATTCCTATTCTAAGTAGGAATGTATATACTTATTTGTATTCTAACACTCCCCCTCAAGCTAGTGCATACAAATCATATGTACCTAGCTTGTTACAGATGTAATTAATACGAGGACCTGTGAGGGACTTGGTGAAGATATCTGCAAGCTGATCATTTGACTTAACAAATTTCGTAACAATATCTCCTGACAGTATCTTTTCTCTAACAAAGTGACAGTCAATCTCAATGTGCGTGTGTAGTCCTTTCATGAAACACTATGAAAACACTGGATTTGATGCGATATGAAGAGCTGCTTGATTATCACACACAAGTTCCATCTGATCAATTTCGCCAAATTTTAGTTCTCCGAACAACTGTTTGATCCAAACTAGACAAGTTGCTGCCGCCATTGCTCGATATTCTGATTCTGCACTAGATCAAGCAACCACACTCTATTTCTTGCTCTTCCACGACACCAAATTACCTCATACTAAAACACAATATCCGAATGTCGAACGTATTAGAGGGTGTTCCTACCCAACCAGCGTCTGTATATCCAGTGATTTGCTCATGGCCTTGATCCTCAAGGAGTAGTCCTTTACCAGGAGCTGACTTTATATATCGCAGAATACGAACAACTGCTTTCCAATGACTATCACAAGGGGAAGTCATAAACTGACTTACAACACTCACATGAAAAGAGATGTCAGGTCTAGTCACTGGGAGATAATTCAACTTTCCAAGCCGTCTATACCTTTCAGGATTACTAAGTGGCTCCCCCTGTCCTAGAAGGAGTTTAATATTCGGATCCATAGGAGTGCCAATAGGTCTACATCCTGATCCCATCACCGGTCTCCTTAAGAATGTCTAAGGCATACTTGTGTTGAGAAATAATACCTGATCTAGACAGAGCAACCTCAATACCTAGAAAATATTTCAATCTGCCAAGGTCTTTAGTCTGGAAGTGCTGAAAGAGATGCTGCTTCAAATTGGTGATGCCATCTTGATCATTACCAGTGATAACGATATCATCAACGTAAACAACCAAATAGATACACTGATTTGGTGCAGAATGCCGATAAAACACAGAGTGATCAGCTCCACTACAAGTCATGCCAAACTGCAGAATTACTGTGCTGAACTTCCCAAACCAAGCTCGAGGAGACTGTTTCAGACCATAGAGTGACCTACATAATTGACATACAAGGCTATTAGACTCCCCCTGAGCAACAAAACCAGGTCGTTGCTCCATATAGACTTCTTCCTCAAGGTCGCCATGGCGATAATGGCGACAAAGGTGAGAGGCGAGAAAGGCATCGCCTTTTGTATTTTCTTAAAAAGGGCGTACAAATTTAGGGTTTTAAAAGTTAAAATGTAATTTTAGGGTTTTCTTTTCAAATTTGCACAGTTGCACTCTTATACTGTGACTGCTACTCCAACCAGTCGACTCGACTAGACTTTTTCAGGACCAGCCAGACATTTCTAGCAACTCCAAAGTCCAACAAATATACATTTCTTCTTTTCTCCTTCAAATTTCTTTTTCCTCTATTTCTTATTCCTTCTTCTTCAGACTTCAGAGTTCTACCTCTATGTTTATCTCACTGTTTTGACTTATGTTGTGTTTTTTTCTCAAGACTTTTAATATGTACTATATATTTTTTAGTTTTTGAATTGAATATTTGTTAATATGTTTTTTCTATTGAGATTGTGATTATTTATATGCAATTAAATATTTTATTTTTTTGGTATTAATTGGAGCCGCACTTCAAAAAGGCGAACGCCTCGCCGCTCGCTCACCCTGTTGCAAGGCAGACCCTTGTCGCCTTTTGTCACCTTTCGCCATCCAAAACACCGCGACTAGTACTATGACTGACACTAACAAGCCTAAACCTTCGCAAAGCAAGACAACAATCTACCCTAGCTTTCTACCCTAATAGGCGACCTCCACTCCTTTCTATCTAGATTCATGTCCGTAGTAATAAGAAGTTGCATCACTTCCTGTCTAATCACCTCTTCCAATACTTTTTTGGCCTACTTCTACCCCTCCGCATAAGCCCAGCATCCATTCTCTCACACCTTCTTACTGGGGCGTCCGTGCACCTCATCTTCACATGCCCAAACCATCTCAGCTTCGCTTCCCTCATCTTGACCGCCACAACAGCCACTCCCACCTTCTCCCGAATACCTCATTCCTTATCTTGTCGCTCCTAGTATGCCACACATCCATCTTAGCATCCTTATCCCCGCAACATGCATCTTTAGGACATGTGAGTGGTTGACTGGCTAGTACTCGGTATACAACTAGGACGGTCTAATCACCATTTAATAGAACTTACTTTCAAGTTTAGTGTAACGACCCGAGAGAACTCCCTAGTCGTTACCGGCGTATTCGACCTCTCGGAGGTCTTATACAAGCCCTTAGCATTCGTCATAGCATTTATAATAGAAAAATAGCGGAAAATTTCAAACTTTTTCATAATATAACACAAGACTTGAACTGTCACCTCATTTAAACCTTTAATACAAAATCGGAGTACTACGTCTCAAGGTAGCCATCTTAAAACACGACTACAACACAAGAGGGACACAACCCTTACAATAAATACAAAAGAACTACTATCTAGTACATAGAACTTAAGGAAGTTCTTTAACATAAAGGTCTTTGAATCTTTAAGGACACACCCGAACTTAGGAATAGTAAGCCAAGCTCATCATTTCTAGGAAAGGCCCTTTAGCCACCACCACCTACACTTGATGTAAAAAGATGAAGAAGAATGGTGTAAGTACAAGAATGCACCGAGTATGATAACCATGCAAAAACATGCTTTTAAAAGGACATTTAGTTGGAAACCATGCATCATGCCTTTTTAGAGAAACTTCAAGAACATTTAGCACAATAGGAACAATATAAACCACATACATCATCATACACATGGAAACCATTGATTAGCACATAGAGTCACTTATAACATTTTAGACACATTCAATGCATACAATACATTACCTTCCTCTTTATCTTAACTCCTTTCCTCAAGCAACCCTTAGGGAATACTTGGTGCAATGCATCACCTTAAGGTTACCAAAGGTGAACTTATATATAGCCTTCATCAACCTAACCACATATATTCATAGAGTCATAAGCACACCATTTAACATTAGACATAAGACCAACATACTTCATAACATCATATAAGGACTCATTCATTTACTACAACATTAGTCATAACCCATTTAGTTCATACCATAGGTAAACCACCCTCACAACCCCTTCACAAGCTCACTTGTGCAATGTACACATAGAGTCCCATACCCCCACATATACTAAGCAAACCCATTAAGAAGTCATAAGTGTAATTCACATACATAAACATACTTCATGTCTTGACATAAGTAAAGTAAACCTTAACATGCTTTCATATTAACATATATAGACCATAATATTCATTACATAAAGAGCCTAATCATAACCTACCTTAGAGTATGCTTGTGCAATGTCTAAGTAGGGTCCATAGTCCTACCTACACTAAGTAACTCTTCAAGAAATCATGACTAGAGTTCATATTATTATCTTAGTTCATTTCTTAACTTTCAGGAGACATTGCCATAACCGACATAGACCATGTGAGCTACATGGAATCCGGTGTTCTACTCCCACACCGAAAAGAGAGGGTACTACTTGCCAAAGTAGGACCTACATACATAATAGCTATCTAGTGGATCCACTAAGCTAAGACCTACGGGGGCACGTAGTTATGGAACAAGGAGATTGCTACTAGAAAACCTTGACTTACTAAGCGTGGAGGTTTCCATCTCATGAGACAACATCTATGTTGGGAACCCGGACTTGCTAAACGTGAAGGTTCTCTTGTGGGAAGCCGGACTTGCTAAACGTGAAGCCCCCACTCTCATTTTTCATGTTCACTCGGTGCTAAGATCCAACTCCCTTTTTAAACATCTTTAAGCCTTTATTTAACATTAGTTCATAAAGT